TCGACAGAATGACAGCAGACGGACTCACCAAAGCTCTCCCAGTAAACCAGTGGCAGCGATTTCTGACTCAACTAGGGCTGGTAGAAAGCCGGACTCAAGAAGCAACCCGAAAAATGGCTCTGCTCGAGATCCAGGATCAAATTGAGCGTCTAGCGATCTAACTAACCGATAGTCCAGCTTGTAATCCTAATTGGCTCTAAGCTGAGGGGGTGTGTCAGATAAGTGGCAGAATCCGGGTGCGGACTCGAGCACCAGGATTCTGTGATCCCAACCAGTCAGGGCTGATCGCCAAGACCTAACCCTAGGCGAGGCTGATACTTAGCGGCCTACCTAATACAAAAAGCAATAGCGATAGCTCTTATAAGGGGCGCGCCCTCGCGCCCCTACAGACGACAGAACACACAACAACTCAATACACTCAGTTTCTATACTTAAGTTTATCACAGTCTTTTATCACAGTGACCCAAAAACAGTCCTTGATCAGAAACCCCTCACAGTCTGACAACTATCTAAGCTTAGTGTAGTGGTGTAGACACTTATACAATTACTATAATAGGTAGCCACCTAGTAGGCGCAGATACTACGCAACGCGTATAAAGTTAAGTCTTAAATTAGTCTTATTTAAGAGAGTGTGAGAAAACACTATAGGTTTTCTACTAATTTACTTACTAAGTAGATTGCGTAGCTAAGTAAGAGGGCCTAGCAAATAGTATATAAAATAACGCTTATAATAGAGGAAATAAGTACGCTTTAAGTAGTTCTTAATAAGTTAAATAAGCGTAAATGTAATGGGCGGGCCCAACGGGCCGAGCGTACGACTACTTACGCCATCCATAGCCAAAAAGGCAGTAACAAGACTTCAAGCTTCTTGAAGTCTAGGTAGTCGTATAGATATACTCGATCACACACACACTTTAGGCGTAGCCTCTTACAGTAAAAGCTATAAGCAGCGATATGTATAGATAAAAGAGACTCTTACTATAAGCAAAGTATAAGAAGTATTAGCTAAGTAAGGAGGTAGTAGTTATAGTAATAGTAAAAGTGCGTTAAAGAGGGTGTAAAGAGAGTGGCGGTACAGGCGTTGCAAGTAGATTAGATATAACGCTTATACCTACGTAGTTAAGATAGATAGTATAAGTAATAGTAGTAATTTTAATAATTAATTTAGTATATTAAAATAGTTTATTAACTATAATAAAAAACTATAACAACGTGTTAATGTAGATGTAGTGGTGGGCCGTTAGCGACTCGCTTAGGTTAGCGACTCACTTGTGAACCACGTTACGTCTAGACAAAATAATAACATATTTAAAGCATTTTAGGCTTAAGAAAAGTATACTATACTTACAATTATAATTATATAGCACTATATATTTATAGCAATGTCTAAAAAGTAGTAACTCTAGTAATAGAAATAATAATTATAAAATACTTAATAAAAGATTTTATACTAAGTAAGAGTAATATTAGAAATAAAAGTACTAGTATGTATATTATAAATCTTATCTAATAATATATTAACAGAAAATTTTAAAAATAGTAACTTTTCTATACGGGTATTTATTTTAGATCTATAGTAATTAGCTATTACGCGCTTTTAGTAAATACTAGTTTTCAATAATACCTTTAAGGCTTATATTATTATATAACGCCTTTTCTTTTAAGTATAGTACTAATAATTACTAAGTTATAAGTTTTACGCGTAGCTATAGCTAACTTATACTTTAATTATCTTATTAAATATTTATTATACCTTTTATAGAATATATATAAATTTATTAAGCTTATCTTGATATAATATTTAGTAGTAAGTAGTAACTTTATTGGTATTAAAACTTATATTATCTATACTAATATTGAATAAAGCCTTATAAGGGCGTATAGGAGTATTTTAAATTAATAGATTAGAAGAACTATTAGTATTATATAGTATAACTGTCTTAGATAAAGCTTTAGATAGTAGGCTAAATTAGGTAGCGTCTAAGAGCACGCGTGTAGTAACGCCTTAAACTAAAATATTAAAGAAACTATTAGTATTATATAGTAGAACTATCTTAAATAGAGCTTTGAAGAGTAAGCTTAATAGAATAGCGTTAAGGCTTAAAGATACGCATTTACGCTCCTGGCGATAAGCGCTAATATATAGCGCAGAGCTAAGAAACTTCTTAGCTATTTAGAGCGCTAGCGCGCTTACTAAAACTCTTATAAAGTCCTAGGCTATTATTATTATTATTATTATTCTAGTTTAACGTCCTTTCTCAGCCCAAAGGGCTATATAAGACGTGCAGGCTTAAGGCCTGCAAGTAACTACGTAGGCTAGAATTTAATCTAGGTACAAATTGAGTAGGTACAATGTAGGGGGTTATCTAAATGAAGGTGAGGCTCGTAGCCTAGTAGTTTTTTTAGTGAGTAACTCTCTCAGATCTTTCACTTTAAATGAGTCTTCCTCTCAAGTTTTAACGAGTAACTCTCTCAGTCGAATAGGTAGTTTAATGAGTAACTCTCTCATGTGGGTGGACCATAAATATGGTTGTGAGGGAAGAAGGATTCGAACCTTCGATCTTTGCTGACGTGAGACAGTAGAAAATTTTCCAGGCGCTCCACCACTGCGCCATCCCCCAAAGTCCTAGGCTAATTATAGTATAAAAAAGGCTTATATTACTAGAGCGTCTAAGGAAGTTTAGTTACGTGTTATATAAAGTTTAGTTAGATGTAAGGGGCTGCGCTCTAGGGAGCAATCGCGAGGTATACAAGAGGTTGTATTCGATAGAGAGCTATAGAGTCTACTTGCGTGGTGTTTATTTACTTGTCGGAGAAAGGTTGCACCGAGTGTCTGAGCGCGTCGTCTGGGCGCCGCTCAGGCCTCGCACAGATGCCGGGTTGCAGAGTAAGACCTGGCGTCTGCTGCTTGACCGAGATTCCATCGAGGAGCTATCCAAAGGGCGTTCAGCCCGTTACATTAGAGTTTACTAGTATATATTACTATTACTATAACTTAGTACTTATTATTTATAACTATATCTTATATCTTTAAAACACTCTTTAAATATACGTCTTTTTAGTCTGATTAATGAGATGAGGTATCGCGTCAAAATGGAGCTAGGTTACGTCATCGGAACGTAGTCAAACATGCCGCGCAACAGGTAAAGCAAAAAATCTATTAACAGCTTCCTCCAACATTTCCGTCGCCGCCTGGTATTTCAAGACATGCGATGCGTGGAATGGCCAGGAACGCGCCTTGTTTTGCCGCGATGTCGGAACTTGATTGCTCACATATGTAGTTACCGGCAGCCTCGTAGAGTAGTTTCTACATTACTACTCGAGTGCTACCGAGATGAGTAGAATAGAGATGGCTGAAATGAAAAGCAAAGTGCGTGCGGAACCAAGGTGACAAGAAAAGAGGCTGGCAGAGCACCGACTAGTAGGACCGGCCACGATGTCGGATACATTACCGCATTCTCATTCTCATTCTCAGCCTCTTTAACTCGGCATGTCTCTTTTCTGAAATGACATTATGACGATGCACCGAAAGCCGGTTGGCCATGGGATTTGTTTACGCTGGAGTGACTACACAAAGGCGGGGTGGTGAAGCTGGAATGGTTGGGGCCAGTGACGGGCCAGTGACGATTGGTGGATCCAGCCGCCCTGGCGACGTTCGGGGCTTAGCGCTGCACATCATCATGGCGACGTCACGCCCAGCATTGCTCGCAGTTTGCTGCAAAGGTTACGGCGTCTTTAAAGCTCGGAATCCCCTGTCAAGCCTTCCATCATCACATACACACGCTACACACGCTGCTTTGACATAGCCCAACTTCTCCTCTACCCAGTCGAGATAGCTCCATCGACACCAACCATAGCAGATTTATTCACAGTCCAAGATGTTTTCCAGACAAGCAACACAAAACGCACGCTGTGCAGCTCGCTGTGCACGTCGCCCAGCAGCTCGCGTGGCAAACCCCCAATACCGCGCCCAGCAGCCGCGTTTCCAATCTACCCAGTCTGGCAACTCGGGTCCCGGTTCACATGCTGCCATTGGTGCTGCCTCTGGTGCTCTTGCCGCAGTCACGGTCGGTTACATCTTCTACAGACAATCGGGCGCCCGCGACGTGGTCATGGCCTCGAAGACTGCACAAGGCTACGTCAAGTCAGCTTCACAAAAGATCAAGGAGCAGACACCCGAGCCAAACGAAGCGCTACAGTGGCTGCGTCAGGCCGCGCAGAGTTACGCCGCATTCATCCCCGGCGCTAGGGGCTATGTCGACTCTGCCTTTGACGACCTCGACGCCATCCGGGCCAAGCACGGCAACGAAGTTGACCAGATTGTGCGTGAGGCATACGAAGAGATGCGACAGGTGCTCGGAAAGGGCGACATGAGCCTCGTAACCGCACACAAGACGTGGGACGTGATTACCAAGCACATGAGCCGCATTGCTGACCTTGCTGGCGATGCGTCGCAGCAAATCATGGACAACCACCCCCAGCTGAAGGAGAGGTTGGGGGGCAACATCGACAAGCTCAAGGAGTACGGTGATAAATACGGTCCGGAGGCAAAGAAGGAGGTGGACAGGACATGGCAGCAGATCAGCGACGTTGTCAAGACTGGTCTGAGTGCGCAAAACATTGAAAAGATCAGAAGCCTGGTGCAGGAGAAGATGGACAAACTGAACAAGATGGGAGACGAGGCGTGGAAAAAGGGCATGGAGCAGGCCAAGCCGTACCTGGACAAAAACCCGCAGGTCAAGAAGCTTGTGGAAGAGAATGCCGATGCACTCAAGGGGGGTAATGTTCAGGAGCTGTACCAGCGCGTCAAGTCGGCCGTCGAGAAGGGAGACACGGGCGATCTCGAGTCATATGTGAAAAATGCCGCAGGCAAGGCCAAGGATGCGGGCTTTGGCGACTACGAACAGTACCTCAAGAAGATGCCCGGCGGCGACCAGATTCTGCCCAAGCTGAGCCAGCTCCAAGAGGTAGCCCAGAAGCACGGTGACGAGGCACAGAAGATCCTCAAGGACGCAGTCTCTGAAATCTCGGACATTCTGCAAAAGAAGGGCGACGAGGCGTCCAAGTTGGCGGAGAAGGCTAAGCAGGACTCGAAATAGAGAGGTGGTTTGTGGGGCTGAGCATGGAATGAGGTGTGATTGATATCCTAATGCATTGTCAGCGCTGAGGGCAGGAATAGAGACGATTGATTGATTCGCTCGCATGTGTGAATGTTCAGGTGTGTGAATTGGTGCGTGAACAGGTGCAATATAGATGGAAATGGGCCGAGGATGCCAGATGACGACATGCCCGCGAGCAGGAATCACGGCCCGTGTCAATGGCTGCGGGCGCAGACAAAGAGTGAAAAAGGTGGTCAGAGTGGCGAACATGGGATCTGTTGGGAGAGGGGAGGGCGATTACAGCTACTAGGAGCCGGGGTGTCGTGGACTAGTAGTGATTTCGGGGGCGTGCTAGTGGCTAGCAGGCACGAGACGCATGTAGTTTTGAGCCTGGGCGGGCGGTGGTACATGTTACTCGGTAGTCGGGAGTAGTGTGGTGGTAGAGTGTTGGTGCCCAAGTCGGTTTCCTCAGCGCCTAGCGATGACGAAGCGACATGGCTCTCCGCATTGTGGCTGCATGGAGACATGGGCGGAACTGCACGCCTATCACTGCCTGCATGCAGGAACTGCACACGGCACGCCGCTCCAGAGAGTGCAGGCTCATCCATGCGGGGTGAGGTGGTACTCATGATGACATGTTGGGACGCGCGGATGCTTGGGGTGCTGCGGCCGTGGTGCTGCGGTACGTAGGTGTATAGCAAAGCAGGGCTGTCGGCTGGCCCAGGCACCGCAAAGGGGCGGGCGTCCGAGGCATGTGTTGTGTGCACGTATGTGGGCGCGGCGAGGGCAGGCCAAAGAGCGTCGCGATGTGATGGCGGTGCGCCGGTCTGCAGCACAAGGCTACCCCGCCATGCAGCGGCGCCGGTGTCGATGCAGCGCGCGCGAGAGAGAAAAAGGCGAAGGGTAGTGGTAGTGTCCTGGCGGTACGAGAAGCGACTACGACTGCTGTGCATGCAATGTGCGCCCCGCCAATCGACGGCGCACGCTCCACCGGGCGAGCCAATGACGTAAACACGCCTGCCCGCCGGATGCGATGCTGCCACTGCCACTGCCCTCACTCGCAGCGCGCCGCTCTTGCTCGTGCTCATGCTCGCCTCCCTGCTTTATTTACCTCAGTCCCAACCACTTGAGCCCTATCTCTTCCTCTCCACCTCAACTCCCAACCTTGACCCGCCTCCTTCCCGCCCCTCCATCACCACCACAAACACCACAAACACCCCACTAAGCCCTATCCAAACGCCCGCCACGCCAGCTGCAACCATGGGCAAGGTAAAGACGCCCCCGCCAGCGCCCGCCATGTACCCCGCCAGTACCCCGCTAACCGCCGTGCAGGCCAGGTACATCATGCTCGACTGCGACAACACGCTTGTCCAGTCGGAGCGCTTCGCCTTCGAGGCGTGCGCCGACCTCACCAACGAGGTGCTCAAGAAGCACGGCATCGACGCCACGTACACGGCCGAGTCGCTGCTGGCAGACTTTGTCGGCTTCAACTTCCGTGGCATGCTCAACGGCCTCCAAAAGAAGCACAACTTCGAAATGTCGCCCGAGGAGATGGACGACTTTGTCGAGCAGGAACTCGGCGCCGTGACGCGCAAGCTCAGCGAGAAGGCGGTCGAGTGCCCCGGCGTGACGGAGCAGCTCACGTACCTCCGGGAGCAGGGCTACCCCATGGCTGTCGTGTCGACATCGGCCAAGAGCCGTGTGGTTGCGTCGATCCAGAAGGCGGGCATCGACCACTTCTTCCCCAACGAGCACGTCTACTCGGCCGCCACGTCGCTCAGCCCGCCCTCGTCCAAGCCCGACCCCAAGATCTACCTGTACGCGGCCGAGCAGCTGGGTGTCAAGCCGGCCGAGGCTGTGACGGTCGAGGACAGCAAGAGCGGCGCGACTGCTGCCATGCGGGCCGGCATTCCGTGCATCGGATACGTCGGCATCTACGGCATCGAGGAGGGCAAGGAGAAGATGGAGCAGATGGCCAAGCTGCTCACAGAAGAGACCAAGTGCGCTGCCATCATGTACGACTGGAAGGAGTTCCCCGAGTGCCTGAAGAAGATTGAGGCTTCACTGTGAATGCATGGCGGAGCACCGGGCAGGACCAAGATTTGACCGACTCTGCCCGCTACGGCGGCGGACGAGGCTATGACGATTGACGGCTTCTATGACTGTATACATTTGATAATGGATATTTAGCGGGCACAGCCCCTTGTGCACCCAAGCTTGCATGTCGTTGTTGTTGCTGCTGCTGCTGCCATGGTGATGTCGACATTTGGCGGGTGACGCAACCGTGTTGTGGCAGACGGACATGGACGCGCCGTTCCAGGCTCGTCTCGTCGTCGGCGGTGGTCCAATGTTCGCCCCACACACACCCCACTTGCTCACGATGGAAAATGGCAAACTCCATGGCGCAACCAGCCGCGTCTTGACGAGGCTATTCACAAGGGCAGGGCCCGTTGATGCTCCGGTGCTTTTTCTATTGGCCGCCTCTTCGCTGGGCCAATCGGCGGGCGGCCAGGATACCAAAACCACGCAGTGCAGTCAAAGGCGTTCCCACATCAGCCCCATGAGAGAAAAAATTCAGCTGTCACGAGCCAGCGCGCCCGTATCGCGTTGGCAAGACGGTAGGGATGTGGATGCTATGTACTTGTAGTATGTATGCACATGGAGGCTGTAGTCTTGTGCGCTCTGCTTCGGCCGCGGTCCTTTTCCTGTAGGTGTAGATGAGCGTCCAATACGTACCCATGTGATGATGCTGCACGACACTCGATACTCAGGTAGTCTTGGCAAGCATCGCGCCCACCGGACAAGCCGACTTCCGCCAGACCCGTTGGCAGCGATGCTAGGTGTAGTGCTACGAGCGATGCAACATGGCGATTACGATTGCCCATGTCGGCATGCATGGAGAGCCAGTCCTGAGGCACCCAAGTCGCTGCATCTCGTTGCACGCCATCCGTTATCTTTTGACAGCACGACCATCTGGCGCTTGGCAGTCTGGGCGCTGCCTTCTCCCGCCGCCCAGACAGCTTTACCCAAGCCTCCTTCCCGAACCGTGCACCCATCCGGATCAGAAGCTTTTGCTTAATCTACAAACCACCAATACTACCCTCCACCCGCCGCCTTGCCCAGTCTATGCATTGCTTTGTATCGCTGCCGACAGCTACCCGTCCACCCACACCACCTTGCATCATGGGTCACCACCTTCATGGTAACGTCCAAAGGGGGCAGGTATCTTGGCTACCTGCCTGGTTTGCCATAGGCAGTGCATCCGGGTGACTGGCATGTAGAGCACCTCTGCGTCACAAGATGCACATTTAAGACCTTTCGTGGGCCTCTACTGTACTGTTGTTTCCTGCACCGCTGTCTCGATACTTTTCCACGCTGCCACAAACATGTTCCTGCACACAGCTCTGCTTTCCTTGTCCGCCCTTGCGGTGGCCAAGGAAATGCCCAAAGATGAGTACAAAGCGGCAAAGCTTTACGACTCTGGTATCAGGCACGAGAACAACGTGGCCCTGAAGAAGGTAGCGAATGCGTCCTAATATGCCCGTCTTTGGCGTTAACCATGAACAGGAGTCGTGGGCTCGGCAAGAGGCTGCGGGCATGTACAACTCTGCTCAGTATGCCGAGATCAAGGACAAGGTCGAGTGCGTCAACGGCACTGCCATCGCAGGCACCGACGTCTTCAAGTGCAGCAACGTCAGTAATAGTCGGACCGTTGGGCTTGTACAACAGCCACTAATGCCGCCACCAGATCGACCTTCTCCATTTCTTGTCCCATGCTGAGCTCGGCAGTCAGCGTGGTGTTGGATCTTCGTCATGGGGTAAGAGGCACAGCTACCTCTCTAGGTGACCAATGCTGACAAGTGCCAGGCTGGACATCGGAAGATGGTCGCGAGTTTGTTGCAATCGGGCAACAGGATGGTGCGGCCTTTGCTGAAATTACCAAGGAAGGCAAACTATCCTACCTCGGACGCCTACCTGCCTACTCGTCCCCTAGCACCTGGCGCGAGATCCGAGGTCAGAACAACCTGATGATCATCGGTAGCGAGGCTCAGGGACACGGCATCCAGATCTTCGACATGAAGAAGTTGCTTACCATTGACCCTGCGTCACCAGTGACATTCAGCAACAGCAAGGATCTCACTGGCCACTTCAAGGGACTTCCTGTTGGCCGGACTCACAATGTCGTGACCAACCCTGAGACCAACTTCATCTACGCTGTAGGAGCGCAGCCCAGAACTGACAAGTGCAAATCTGGTATCATCTTCATTGATATCACCGATCCTTCGAAGCCAACAAGCCCCGGATGGTAGGTTTGCAAACTCGGACGTCCCCCAAACCCAGCTAACACGGTGCTTTCAGTGCGTCCGAAGATGGCTACGTGCATGATGCTCAGTGTCTCATATACCGTGGACCCGACAAAGAGTTTGCAGGCCGCGAAATTTGCTATGGCTACAATGAGGATTCGCTCACAATCTATGACGTGACAAACAAGAAAGCCCCCGTCATTCTGTCAAACACGTCGTATGAAGGCGCAGCATACACCCACCAAGGCTCCGTCTTGGACCCCATGAACCAGCAGTATCTGCTTCTGGACGACGAGTACGATGAGTACGACAAGGTCGGCCCTGGTGCCCCCGGACACCCCATTACATACATTTGGGACATTTCGTCTCTACGTGCGCCAAAGCAGACGGGGCTGTACAAGAGCGGCGCCAGGGGTATCGACCACAACCAGTACGTTGCTGATGGTTTCGCATACCAATCCAACTACGGCACTGGCTTCCGCGTTCTAGATGTTCGCTCGATTCCCCAGGACCCAACCGGTGCTGGTGTCAAAGAAATTGGCTTCTTTGGTGAGTTTGGCCTCTATGCTGCTCTTGGAACCGCTATACTAATCATGCCGTAGACATCTACCCCGAGGATGATGACCTTCCCGGAGGTGGCACTGTCGACTTTGTTGGAAGCTGGTCAAGCTATGCGCTTTTCAAGAGTGGCCACATCCTGATCAACACCATGGAGCGAGGCGCCTTTATTGTAAAAATGCAGGAAGGTTCCAAGAAGTAGACGGGCAGGATGGGAGGAATCAGGACATTGTACGTAGTAATAGCAGGCGATGCGGTGTTATAGGCTGTGGCCAGACGCAGTCAGCATCACTGTAGCTCCGCATATACCTCCGAAATACGTACTGTACAACCCTATCAAACAGGCTTGGCTTGATTTTACCCATATTTAGGTCACACAGCAACGGGCATCGCCAAGACGTGTATGGCCGAGTATGCAGAGTCCCGATCTCTCCGTGGCCATGGACGGTGGTTCAGATGGACACAGCCAGCCACCACCACCGTCGTCTGGTCTGCTTGGCCCAATTCCACACGGAGGGCAGACAACGGCCAAGCTGGGTTTCTTGCAGCGCGGTCGAGTGGCGGAGACGTCCTGCTCCCCCATTATCACCCGCTCTGATTGTGGCGGCGGCACGCCAAGGCTGCGCTGCGGGGATCAACGCTTGGCCGCCCGTCGTTCCTTCCCAATCAAGAGTCGTCTGGCCGTGAGCTAGGTCTGCCCGGCCAGCGATGCGGCTATTCTCCTTCCTCATACAACCTCGTATCACGCAGCCAAGTAGCCCTTGATCAATCTCGTCGCCTTCGCCCCAGCCCTTCACCCGACTACCCGTCACCACTAGCCCACAGCATGCCTTGCATCCCCAATTCACGGTTCCTGAGCGGTACGACACTAGCCGTGGCAACTGCAGCTGCCTGTAGCGGTTAGGCCAAAGAGCACAGCATCATCCTGGCTTGGTCTGTGAGGCCATTCCACAAGCCATAGGCCTAGGTATATAAAAAACACGCCATCCCTTGTTGCCTCGCTCACGGCAGCCCTCTTTCATTCTTTGCTCATCCTTCACTGCCAGCATCCAAGATGAGGTTCGTTCCTTTCGTTGCGCTCGCTGCGCCTGTCCTTGGCCAGTATAATGCCATGCCGAAGCCCCCGGGCAAGCCTGAGACGCCGCCAAAGCCCGCGAAACCATTGGGCCCAGGGAAACCGGACGGCAAGCCCAAGAAGCTCGTGACGCCCAATGACTTGATCAAGGACATCAAGCTTGAGGATCTGCTCGCGGGCTCCCAACAGCTGCAAACCTTTGCCGACGAGGCTGGCGGCAACCGTGCTTTTGGTGGCACCGGTCACAACGCGACAACCGAGTGGTTGTACCAAACATTGCTGGCGACTGGCTACTATGACGTGTACAAGCAACCATTCGTTGAGCTGTTCACCGCCGCCACCACAAAGTTCACTGCCGCTGGTGAAGAGATACCCGTCTCCTACATGACCTTTGGCCCGTCTGCCGATGTCACTGCCAGCATTGCCAAGGTCAACAACCTGGGATGTGCCATTGGCGATTACCCTGCCGCCATTTCTGGCAAATTGGCACTCATCTCCCGAGGCACTTGTACCTTTGCGGAGAAGGCTACCAATGCAAAGACTGCCGGTGCCGTTGGTGCACTAATCTACAACAACGAGCCCGAGCAGGCCCTCTCAGGTACGCTCGGAGGCGAGGGCAACTATGCCCCTGCTGTGGGCATGACCAAGGAGGCTGGAGAGGCTCTCGTCGCCAAGCTTGGCAACGGCACTACAATCGAGGCCACTCTCTTCGTCGACGCCATTCGCGAGAACCGTACCAACTACAATGTCATTGCCGAGACCAAGGAGGGTGACCACAACAATGTTCTTATGCTTGGTGGCCACACTGACTCTGTCTTTGCCGGTCCTGGTATCAACGACGATGGATCGGGTACCATTGGTACTCTGGTGGCTGGTCTCGCACTTACAAAGTACAAGATCAAGAACGCTGTTCGCCTTGGTTTCTGGGGTGCCGAGGAGTTCGGCAAGCTGGGATCTTTCTACTACATGAAGACCATCAACGGCAGTCTTGGTGGCAGCACCCAGGAGGCCAACAAGATCCGCGCCTACCTCAACTTCGACATGATTGCCTCACCAAACTATGTCCTCGGTATCTACGACGGTGATGGCAGCGCATTCAACTTCTCTGGTGCAGCTGGTTCCGACAAGATCGAGAAGGATTTCGAGGAGTTCTACGAGGCACGCGGCCTTGCCCACGTCCCCTCTCTCTTCACTCTCCGCTCCGACTATGCCGCATTCCTCGAGAACGGCATCCCCTCTGGAGGACTCTTCACCGGTGCCGAAGTTCTCAAGACCGCGGAGGAGGCCCAACTCTTCGGCGGTGAGGCTGGCAAGCCCCTCGACGGATGCTACCACCAGAAGTGCGATGACATCAACAACCTTGCTCATGATGCTTACCTCCTCAACACGCAGAGCATCGCCAACTCTGTTGCCAAGTACGCCGTCTCTTTTGAGGGCATCCCACGAGCCAACGCCACACTCCGCAAGCGTGGTGCAGAGTCGGCCAGACTGATGGCCAGGTTTGACCATGGCGGCCACGAGCACCTTGGACAGCCTTGCGGTTCTGGAAAGCACATTATGTAAATATGACATGTTAATGACCAAGGAGAAGGAGAATGACGAGATGATACCATGAGGCCATATTGTGTACATAGAGAATGATATATATCTGTATTTCAGTCGCATAACTTTTCTCACCAATGAACTTGACTTGGTTTTGGGCTCTTGCGTCACGCCATTGATTGTATGTTTGCCCCTCGCCCTGGCATCATGTCACTGAAGGACACTTGTCTCTCAAAGTTCCCCATGATATCTATATTTCCACTGGCAATTTTCCGAGATTTCTTACGTTTCTTGGTCGCATTACTGTAGCCTGATAATGGAAATCATCGACTTACAGTCTTAACTCTGCATTTCCCTTGTTACCAATTCTTCAAATTTATCATCACTGAACTATAGTTACCGTGTACCAGGACAGCGGTTCGAACAAGCTTCATAAGCCTTTTCACTAATATCGTGTGCATAAGCGCGCAGAAAGCCCAGGATTTGTTGTCAAAAACCCTAGGGGAGGGGTGGAGCGGAAGAGCGTGTACCTTGATGGCGGCGGTGCCAGTGTGTGTGTGTGTGTGTCTCGGCCCGGTCCTGGGACGGATTGACAGAGTGTTTTCAGAACACTATTGGTGTGTTCAACAACCTATTCATATTCCACTAACCTCGACAAGTGCTAAGAGAAGAAAGAAAAGACGTGATTCTGTTGCTCTCCGACCGACCGTCTAGCACATACACTCGTCACTCCAAACCGCGCGGCAAGACACACACGTCGCTTCTCTCCCTGCATCCCCACAATGTCTCTGCCAAACCTCGAAGCAAGCGCTATGCACACTTTTCCCACACCCATCCTTGCACCACGCAAGAGCTTGTGCCACCAGGACATCCAGACAAATCGCACAATGATCGCCTTGGGTGCTGCGGCGCGGCACGTGAAAGCAACCCTGACAAGCGCAATCGGCGTCGGGCCAGTCTGCGCGACACACCGGACAGGTAAGTGATCTGTCGTCGACGAGGCATTGCGTGTGCCACCCCTCAAAGCAGGATTTGTGGACTGTACGGCCGCAGCTGGACTTGCACCATATGGTTTCCGTAGCGTTGTAGGAAGAGAGAGGCTCGCCTTCGTCGCATATGGGGCACGCGTCGTCGAGGGGGATACGGCGGGCGTGGCTGCGCGTGCAGTGTTGGGGCGGTGGAGGAGCTGAGGGCGGCGCAAGGGGTAAGAACGATGAGGAGCTTGACAGGGTAGCAGAGTGACGTGCTGTCTGGCTGGCATCAGTGGATGATGAAGGTGAAGCTGTATCGCGCTCGCTTGAATCAGATAGACTTGTGGAACGCCGCGACAGCACCAGTGAGGAAATGTCCGACGTCGAGATGCGAGACAAGGGGGATATTGGGACTGGAGAATCGCCATTCGAGAATGCTTGTAGAAGCCTGCGGGTGCATCGAAGCGTCTCCTGCATGTCGTCGATTGTGTCGCGGATGGTGTTGAGTTCAGAGCGTGTGGCGAGAGATTCAGCTGATGCTGTGACGCTGCGTGTCGTCGGAGTACTTGTTGGAGACAAAGCGCTCGCGTTCTCAGTGCCGATATACCAGAAAGCTGCACGCATCCTTCCCGTCCATGTCTCTACCAGGGCATCGGCTTGGTATTGGTGGTCACGCACGCATAATCCGTGTACAGCGAGGCGTTTGAGTGTAGGCCGCAAGAGTACGGGGTCTGGGCGTTGCTCCGATAGCTCGTTTATTATATGTTTTATTTTGGGTACGTCCTCACGGCGTAAAGGCCTCTGGCATTTGCGGCGTCGCGAGGTCGCGCAGCCCATGCAGCGGTGATGCTCATACAGCTGCAGGATATCGGTTGGGCACCACTGGTGCTGGCTGTACATGTTCGATACGACAGAATCGCGTCTGGAGATAGCTGATGGCATATTGCGTAATGTTTGAAAGATAGGCTCTGGTTGACCAGGTAAGTGAAGTGCAAAGGGCTGCAGTCTTCGCATAGTAACATGTCTCCAGTTATACACGGGAGCGGCCCCCTTGTAGGATTCATCCTCACGGCACAGTCGCTAGATTAGCTGTCCGGACAGTCCCGAAGAGAAAAACACGTTTATGCAAGGCGGCTGTGCCCCCGAGACAAGCAGGTAGAAGCGCCTATTTTGAGGCAGAAATAGCCTGGCATCATTCCTTCAGGAAGCACCATTGGAGAAGGCTGTAGGCGAGGAATCGTATCGCTGGGAAGAAACCTGGTAGGAGTAGGCTGTGCGCCTGCTACTCAATGCATGCCGCCTATATTGGTGAGGCGGATGCGGCGTAGTCACCACCTGCAGCTGCCTGGCACACTAGATGTTTCCAGGCATTGGCTATTTCGGCACGCCGATTGGCTCTGTGGTGTGGCAAAGGCCAATGTATTTGCAAGTATCCCTTATACCTGCCGCGGGCTCAGCGTGGAGAATCTTCAACTTCCTCCACGGAGCAGCAGGATCACTCGTATTGCAACACTACCGACTTTGGACTATAGTGTTTCGACATTCGTCCCAGTTTCCATTATTTCCATTGCGCGTGCCAGGTCGTCGAGGATGTTGTAATCCCAAATCCAGTCCATTCTGCTCAAGGAATTCTGCTTGTGCGCTTCGAGATGGTCGTCCACGCCTTCGCCTTCCAAATCCCACAGCATGCCGGCTTCGCGACTCGTCTTGACAAGCTTCTGGCTGCGAGGTCTTCGTACTGCATCGTAGGCCTGGAATGCCTTTGTGATATCGCTCTTCGCGTCGCATCGAGAAAGCAGCTCGCCAAGAATGTAAACGTCCTCGACGCCCATTCCGGCGCCAGCTCCCTGGTGAGGTGTAGACGCGTGGGCCGCATCGCCCACAAGGCAGACCAGCGGCTTGGCAGAGTAGTAAGTTGGTGCAGGGGGATGGTCGAACAGCGCCCAGATATCAGGCTTCTGTAAGTTACCTATCATGTCTCGTACGGTAGGGGTCCAGTGTTTGTAGTCGTCCAGCATGTCTTCGTGCGATGTCTGGACTACCCACTCTGGATTATCCCAAGTCTGGCGTGAAGCGAACGCCACCACTGCACACGTATCAGTCAAGCATATATGTCAAAATGGAACAAGGTACCTACCGTTGAGAAGCGTCCCGTTGGCGATGGGGAACGTGAGTACGTGTCCGTGGTAGCCCATGTACATCTGCGGCGTTTTAGGTATTACCTCACCCAGTATCTCGACAGCCTTGGTCATAGGAAGCAGCCCACGGTACGCGTATTTCCCCGAAAACACTGCAGTGGATGTCTCGGAGTCGCCGAGTATGATTGACCGCGTGCGCGACTTGATTCCATCACATCCCAACACAGCATTATGCTGCGCCGTCGACCCATCTGCAAAATGGAGCACAGCGTCGCCTGAGCCATCCTCTGCCTCTGTGATATTCTGCAATCTCTTTCCGAATCGCGCGATGCCATCGGGAACCAGTTTGACCAACTCATCCAGGAAATGCGCGCGATGTACTCCTCCTCGGGGACCTCTTCTCGCAGGCATAACGAAAACCTCTTCACCCAGCTGCACATCTTTCTTTCGCTCATCGCCGAAGCGCACTGTGAACCATCGCGGAGGCTCAGTGACTGTGTTGCCCTTGGTGCACTTCTCAAAGGCAGCGGCAATGCGCGGGTCAATTAGTTTCATGGTGCGCACCATGACAGGCTCAAACCCAACCCCAGCGCCAATCTCTCCGAACGCGCTCGCAGACTCGTACACGGTGACGTGCATGTGTGGGCATTTTTTCAGAAGCGCAATTGCCAGTGAAAGACCCGATATGCCCCCTCCCACTATCGCAACATCCAGCCGACTTGTTTCTTTTGCCATGGTGCTCCAGCTGCGAAATGGGTAGCTCGAGTACGCCGGTTCTGGGGCGGTGGTGACCTGTGGCAGGCCAAGGAGAATCCGAGTATTGAGACAAGTGCTGGCTAATATGATAATAACCGCGTTGCTCGCGCACGGGTGGTGGGAAGCATACTTAGCCGATGTTGCTGTAAGTGTGTGTGTGTTGCCAGGACAAGGGAACGGGTAGTGCGCGTTTACGGCGCAAGATGACATACCCGGTCCCAGACGGCCGAGCTTGCCTGTGATTACATATGCATATGATGATTCAGGTGTTGGAGGCTCTGCAAACGATAAACTAGCGGGATTAGCGCTGCCACGGGCGCCCGTCGGGATGCGCCCGCTGCTCCTTGGCGATAGCACCAAGCGTACAAAGTAAGTTCAAGCATTACGCCTTACGGACAAGGATCACATGGATAGAGATATCCCAAAAATAATCAAGGTCGAGCTAATGACAAGTTCTGCTCGTAGTAATGCTACATACAGCGTAGGTCTAAACGAGAGCTGTGCTAAAGCTGCATGGGCGCTCCTGATGGGCATAGAGCCTACCTCCTTGCTACGTGCAGCTTATTGGCAGGGCAAAAGGCAATACTTAGAGCTTACAGTGTACGCGTGTTGGATGACGCAGACACATCTGACTAAGAACATCTCGTGAGAATCCACATGGGATGAGGCATTCCGAGAGTCAACTATATGTACGTCCATTCACTGCATGCAAACATTTGAATTCACCAACGCGACATGATGCATTAATTTCTAATGACCTTGACGTCTGTCGTAACTGTTATGCCCTGGACCTCAGTCTTATCACTTCCGCTGTCACTGCTTCGCGGGCGGCTGGTCATGACGTGATGTGTTGTTGTCTTCGACTGCTCGATAATGTGCTCCTGGCTTTCACTAGGACTCCCGTTGACGTATGTGTCTGAACGACCGGTATTCCCCTTGACGTTGCTCATCGCATACGAATGGTATGCATTATCAGCCGTACGTCCCCTCGATCTAGGCGCCCCTTGGGCCGATGGTGTATTATGGTCATACTGCCGATATGCGCCACTCGTGCCTTTGCTACTGGTCCATCTCTTGGGCCACAGGGCTGTGATGCTTTTCCGCAAACTAATCAGGCATGCGCAAATGACACCACTCGCTGCTTCGATAAAACTCCATAGGTTCGTCGGCGCAGACTCCCACGAGGGGTCTTTGGTCCGGAGGGTCAATGGTAGCGTCGCCATGCGAAGGGCCGTCGTAAGGCAGATGAAGAAGCCCATGGAGAAGAGCACCACGAGGCCGATCCGGGAGCCCAACGACATGTTCAGACGAATGATTACTGGTATAGGCATAATAAAGATCGCGATATCGGTCAAGAGGTTCGAGATCGCGTTCAACCATCTATACAGATTATCAGTGCCGATCCTACACAAGTCTGGAATCGTGCTTACCGGTGCCAGAAGAAGTTAATGCACGTTCCTGGGATTGTACGATTGAATACGCGGTGTATCGGTGTACATTGGAAGACAACGATAAACACAAAAGACACTGTCCATGCGACAGACACACCGCCTAAGAACAGACACACTTGCCTGAACCGTTTCATGGGAAATACGCGGTAGTACAGGGCTACAAATGCCATTTTGTTGAAGCCGTTGGTTAGCGTGTAAAAGAGTTGAGTAAGCCAGAAGAACTGCAATGCACATGTTAGCTAGCTGTATGGTGGAGAGACAGACTTTGTCCTACTGACCTTCATTGCCTCTATGTAGTTGCCACCAAACTTTGGTATGGCGGCCTTAGGCATGCCGAACCCATGAAGCGTGGCAATATAAACGCAGACAGCAAACACGATCAGACATACCTGGTCTCCGTCAGTGTCGCTTCGTGTTGCTCGGATATGGGCACTTACGTTGGCTGCGATAACAAATCCATCTTCGAGTCCCAGCCAACCCCTATTCTTGATGGTAAGGGAAATGCGGGAGATCAAAAGTATGGTGGCGATGGAGGTCAAGGTTACAGTAACCCACTGCAAGTCTCGTCGCTCACCGGGATAGGCGTGGAACATTGTCGCATGAGCAGACACGTTGAACGGGAGCCAGAGCAAAGACGTACATAGATCTACCACGCCTCTAGTCATGAAGATAGACTTATAGCGGATCCTCTGTTTCCTATTGACTGGCGCCATAGCTACCCCCAACTCGCGTCAGGCCATTGATCACCCCGTTAGGTTTGCGCCTCCTCGTCTGTGCATCGATCTTTTGATACACTATGCCCGACGGAATATAGCATGGCCTTTTCTTTTCAGCTGTTCGCATTGGTGGGCTTCACTGCCATGCCACAAATCCTTAGCCGCAACGGATACCCAATGCATGCCTAACCGGGCCTTTTCTTGACACTGAAGTTTCTCGATGAGCCATACGGAGGTGACTGTCAAAAGTTCTTGCTCAGGCGCGGATCTATCGGACCAAATTCTCTTAATACACTTTCTGTTATCATTTCAGCGTGTAGATAATATATCTTGATAGTGTTAGCATATTACTATAAGTGTATCCTTTAACAGCTAATACATTTTCTAAACTATTCTATTAAGTAAGGGCTTCTATTTACAAACTTAGTACTTATGATTTATAGTCTTAGGCGGTATTTTCGGCGGTAATTAAGGAACCCCTGTTAGCAAGAACTTTTGAAAGCCACCTCCGTATGCAAATGAGAATCCTTCAGCAGACGGGATAGCCGGAGACCAGTCACATTCTGCGGGTGCCATGGCTCCCGACGTACATAGCCGCGAATGGTGGCGTCTGGCAGAGCACCTTACTATATCTGCAAGCTTCAGAGAAGCGCCGAACCGGCCTTACGTGTACTTGGCCGTTGTCGCTTGCGCTGGGTTTCGCATAGGGTGTGGTGGTGCGGAGCGGGACGTGGTATTTCGCCGAATACGAGATTGCGCAGTTGGGCCCTTGCCTCTGTCTGCTTCTGCATCATGGGGCACGGGAGGCGGGCTTAATCTAGCAGACGGAATAATTGGTGGCCAACGTGTTGATGGATTCGGACTCGAAGGAATCCTCTCCTCTTTTTGCAGAATGCACAGTCGCTTGAACGTGTCGTCGCTCGGAGACATTTTCCAGACAGGACAACCGCTCTACTAAATAAGACCATGGTACACTTCCACTCGGGCCGTCGCGTGGGGAAGCACATACCGCTCCGGCGGCATGTTAGACTTGAATCCGACCCGCACATGTCTAACTGTTTGAACGGGATGTCGTTGCATTATCGCCTGATATCTTGCATGTTTGGCGGTCTTCCAAGACGACCATTGGTCCATGTGCCACTGTGTGGACTACTGGTGGCATTTGCATGAAGAGACCAGGGATGGCTCGTTGGCGTTCCCGAGGGTCCAGGCCATCAGCTAACTTTTATCCAACCCTGGAAGTTCTCGTACACTGGTCAACAGTTCTGTCTTACACCAATAGCAGATGACTTTAGCCATGGTATGCGGTGAGGGCGGGTAGGATGTCTCGAGCCTTGACATCGGTACGCCTTAATCTAACGGCACTCTGCCGCACCTGGGGGTACTTCGGAGGATTTGCATCAAAACGCTCACCTCGATTCAGACCTATTCGCCGCTGGAATCTCGGTTGAAGGGAATTTTCTGGTTTTCTGCTCCATGCGGCTAAGAGTCTTGGAAACGGTACTTATGCTTATTGCCTGCATTCGCTTGGGCTTTTAATCAACGTGCAAGCGAACCGGTTCCTGCAGACGCAGTGTGTCACGGCTATAATATACTGGTCAACCCCACCTCACCTCACTGTTTCCTGCACGATGGCGAACATGAGCTCAGCCGAGAAGGACTTCTACGTCCAGGACACATCGATATCCTCTCCTAGCTCAACAGATAAAGTTATCTACGATCGTGACGCTGAGCGTAAGCTTGTACGAAAACTTGACTTCAGAATCCTACCGGTACTATGGCTCCTGTATCTCGTAAACTTCATCGATCGGTAGGCTGCTTCCGTCGCTCTCACAGCTTCAGCGCTAACTGACTTGTTCTAGAGCAAATATTGGAAATGCGAAGATCCAGGGCATGGAAAAGGAGCTAAAACTCGTCGGCCAGCGCTTCAATATCGCCGTATGGGTGTTTAATCTCGGTTACCTTGTCGCTGGAATCCCACTGCAAATTGTTTTCAAGAAGTATGGGCCGAAGACTCTTTGCGTTATGATGTTCTTTTGGGGCATCACAGTCATTGGCTGTGGCCTCGTCAAGCGATGGGAAGAGCTAGTCGTGTGTCGTCTCCTTGAAGGCATTGCTGAGTCGGCCTACATTTCGGGATGCGCCTACTTGATCGGCGCCTACTATTCCAAGACCGAGTATCTCACACGCTATGTCTTCTTCTGTACAGCCGGCATTGTTGCCGGTGCCATCAACGGGTTCGTCTCGTCCTTGATCGCGAAAATGAATGGCACTGCTGGCTACAGTGCGTGGAGGTGGTGAGTACTCTGTAGATGCTTTTGAGTGACGCTAGCTAACTCTACAAAGGATTTTCATCATCGAGGGCTGCTTGACCATCGCGGTCAGCTTCGTCTGCTTGCCATTTGTACCACCTTTCCCACAGGACTGTAACTTCTTGTCCCCCGAGTACAAAGCTCTCCTGCTCGCACGGATCAAGGCCGACGGAGGTCATGTGGACAACGATGAGATTACCTTGAAGAAGGCTCTCGAATACCTGAAAGATTGGAAGATCTGGACTGGGTGAGCATACCGAGATCTCCTTCTACCAAAGTCCCATTACTAATAAGCCGACAGTGTTGTGATGAACCTCGGTGTCACCGAAAATGCGAACTCGCTCGCAAACTTTCAACCGACTATTCTCAAAGGCCTCGGCTACACGGCGACACAAGCGCAAGTCCACACCATTCCTGTGTACCTCGTTGGTGCCGTCTTCTCCGTCATATTCGCATATATGAGCGAGTTCCTGAAGCGCCGCTACTACTTCTACATCTTCGGCTGGTCGGTGCTCGCAGCAGGACTCGTAGTGGAGATTATACACCCATTGAATCCCAAGGTTCGATACATGGGCATGTTCTTCATTGCTAGCGGCTGCTATCTCGCGATGCCCATATCCATTATCTGGGTGTCCATGAACTGTGGGAGCGGGTACAAGCGCGCTGTGGCAATCGCAGCAATCATCAACTTTGGCACAGCCGGAGCTTTTGTCAGCTCAAACGTTTTTCTCTTCAAAGAGGCTCCCGTGTTTCGCACTGGCTTCAGCACAGGCCTGGGTCTAGCCTGCATGGGAGCTGTCGCCGCAACCATTACCTGGATCGGCTGCATGAGGGAGAACAAGAAGCGCGACCAGGAGAGGCTAAAGTTGCCAGAGGTCCTGGATGAGAGTATGGATCAGTTGGGCGATGAGCATCCAGACTTTCGGTTTGCGTTGTAGATAATTATAGAGATCTTACTTGCTGAAGGTCGCCGGTCCGACGAGGCATCCAAATATCATCCTTCATCGGCGTATGGTCGGCGTACCAGGACACCGTTTGTTGTATTCCGATTGCTTACATTTATTAATATCTTCGTAATTTTGAAGTTGAATAATACGAATAGTCTTGAAAGAAAGTTTGCCGTAGGTACATGGTACGGCGCTTATCGGTGATTTTTCGCGCAGTACATAAGTCATGGAATATCGTAAGCAGGTACGAACATTCATAAAAGGGGCCTCTATAGATGGTCACCTCAAACAGTAAAGTTTGTTTTTGAATTTGGGATTCGAGAAGACCAAGATAAGGAAAGGGGGCGTAGGAAGTCATAGTGTGTACTAGTGACTCGATATGCACTGCGCAGAGTCAAGATTCATGAATCAGGTAATTACCATTATATATCATGCTTGGCTGAGTGAGTACCTATATGACTCGTCCCATGCTGTGCCCTGATTGCCCTCATTAATCATTCGCGCTTAGTGTATACCTTGACATATCGCACATGCTCATTGCCCTGCGCATCTTCGTACCGCTCGCTAACAATCTTGTAGCCACCAAACTTTGGCCATAGTTTGGTCCAGCATGCCCAGTAGAATACGCCCAAGAGCAAAACGCCGACGCCGACGACCGGAAATACGTAGTAAGGGTAGCCATTAGCATTCCAGTCACCATCTGGTGGGATAAAGGGAACGATTACGAGGAAGACGTTAGCAGCGAAGTAGACCAGGGCGATGGGAAGATAGGTATGCCATGGGGACTCCCAGCGCTCCTTCTTCGAGTAGTGAAGATAGATGAGACCTGCAGTCACGAAACTGTTGATCCATGCTCCAGGGTAGGTATAGAGATCCGTGATAAAGTTGTATGCTGGGCCAGCGGGTGGCGCTACCAGAACGATGACAGTGATGAGCCAATGAAGAAACAAAGCAGTCGTAGGAGCATTAAAAGGCTTGTTCGACGCCCAGAATCGGCTCCAAGGTAACAAGCCCTCCTTTGCAAATTCCTGGTTCAGCCGCGAGTGCGCAAAGCTGACTGCAAGAACGTTACCCAGATTGCTAAGGGCGACGAAAGCCGGAAGACTACGTGCTCCGGCGCTGTTGCCGAAGACGTTACGGAAGAAGAGACCAGCAACGATGACCTCACTCTTTGCAAGCTGAGACTTGGGAATGGCGGCGAAGTAAGCCACGTTTGCAAGAACGTACAACACCGTGGTCCCACCGACGGCAAGAGGCGCAGACCAAGAGAGCGTCTTCCTGGGATTTCTGATCTCCCCCAGCACATAATTGGCATTCTCCCATCCCTTGTATGAGTAAATGATGCGGAGGAGAGCTTGGCAGTATTGGTATGCGCCTCCGCCGCCATAGCCATCGCCAACCTCGAGTCGGAACGCGTTGTCGAAGTTATGCGGCTGTTCGATCTTCAGATGGCCAGCAAGGGCAGCAAATCCAGAGCAGATGATGAACAGAAGGATGAAGACCTTGAATACGCCCAGGACGTTGAATAGGCGAATGCCCCATTTTGGTAATGTAGAATGGAGGACCACAGCAAAGGTTATGCAGCCAATACCAATGCCACGCGCCGTCCAGCCATCGGGCGACTCGGAACCAGACGCAAAAAGAACATAACGACCAAAGGCCAAGGAATTACCAGCCGAGAATCCAAGAAGAAGCATCTGCGAAGCCAGGACGCATGTTGCCATGTACTTTGGGTGGCGATAAACGCGCTCCAGATAGTTCTTTTCACCGCCGGACTTTGGTATCGCAAGACCGAACTCGAGAAAGACGGATAGCCCGCAAAAGGTCAGGACGCCGCCGATGATCCAGAGGAAAAGCGATACACCGACCGATCCGGTTACAGCAAATATGCCAGAAGGTGTGGAGAAGACTGATCTAGGTCAGTTTCGCGCTGATGCCATTTACTAGATATACTTACTACCAGTACCAATCATCTTGTTTAGGATAACGAAGACAGTCGCCGTGTACCCCAACTTTTGCGAATCATCGTAGACATACGCGTTGTCTTCCTGGACGCTGCCCTCCTCGTAAACGGGCGAGGGCGACACCTCATCGCGGCCATAATGCACTGCCCTCACTTCGTCGTCGGGTTTAGTCGCCATGACTGGGGCCAGGAGCAAGGTTTGCGTGTGTTAAGCAGCAGACTGCAGGAAGAATATAAAGTCCCATGGCAGCATGCCATGGCGCGATAAAGCCGGTCGGGCGTGCCACGGGGGATAAATTGCAATTTTTCTTTTGTATGTCGCGATCGACAATTTTGTAAGACTATTAGGCTTGAGTTACTCGCAGTGCCAGAGGCTGGCTTATACCAAGACACTACAATAGGAAGGCGAAGCAAGTCTGTTGGTTCAAGGTTCTTGGTATTACCTGTTGGCGACGTGCATCATCTGCCAGGGTGATGTCGTGATTGCTCGGCGCCATTAGCTTGTGGCGCACATTCTTGGCGTCCATGGCCTACGTTAAAACCAAGCATCCTGGCGGTAGAGGTTACACTGGAGGGCTATATTCGACAGGTGCTTATGGTTGTCAGATGGTCATTAGCTTGATTGCGGTTAGCTATTGCAGTCGCGTTAACGGTATGAGGCATGCAAATCAACTGCTTTTTGGTAGGCGCTTGGGTAGACGCGTGAGTAGATAAGGCATGCTTTTTGAGAAGGTTTGGTGCTTACATGCCAATCTGCGATGGGATTGTAGGAATGAAAGCATGGTGTTCATGGCGAAGACCGATTCAACGCGCCCTCTTGGTCACGTGACCAGCATGTAGCCCCACACAGGCCTTGCGATACCCTCTCCCCTCCCCTCCCCATCTGGACACCGCGCACTCGCATCCTCATGGCCCACTTTGTTGCTATCGTATCGGAACGTAGCAGCATAAAAATATGACTGCGTACGAAATACATCTCGTGTCCTTTTTGGCACGGCGACAACAAATTCCCGAACCGCCGACTGCCGAAGTGATTCCTTCGGAGTATTACTATTACTTGAGTTTTCAGGAAGGTCAGAGCAACAAGTGCTTATGTTGGACAGAAGATGTCACTATATGTGTGCATTGTCATCCAGTCCTCATCTACGTAATAAGTATTACCACTAGCCTGCAGAAGAAGTCTGCGCGCTGGGCACGCTTGATGCAAAGGCCTCCTAGCGCCATGGCCCACGAATCGCCATAGGCTTTGTTCAGACGTCTTAAAGAGTATGACAGAAGTGCTATTGTCCGGGGTATCCAAAACCTTTTTCGACGGCAACTAGAGCCCCTTTATACTTTTGGATACAGTGGGTTGTCAGATTTGGATGGGGCGATAGACACGGTCCTTGACCCCAATGCTCTGGCTAATTGGTGGATTATTCTTTGTCCATGATCCCCGCGTTCTCCCCGTGTCCCCATGCGGGTCATCCTAGCGTTCGGCGGAACTCTCGACAACCGTGATTGGAGGCATTGCAAAACAAACCACTAGTAAATGCCGTTATGGTTAAGACGACACCGAATCTCCGGAATTGCAGACATAAGCCCAAAAGGGTCCAAGTGTGCCAGGAGATATGTGTTCATAAATAGGAGCTGGTAGCCAAGCTTCAAAGCTTGCCCAAGCAAAGTCAATCTTGTACCTCCTCGGCTTTGTAACATGCGTTTAGCGATTGTGTGCGCCAGCCTGCTTCAGGCATGTGCGGCGTTATCCACGGTGGGCCGAAGAGCATGCCAGCACCCTACTCCCAAGCCCCTGGATGGATGTCCACCGAACACGCTCCTCGTTGGACGGGGAGGTGACTTTTCTACCATCCAGTCTGCGGTACTGAGTCTGCCAAACGATACGACGCCTTACCATATCCTTGTCCTTCCCGGCAACTACACGGAGCAGGTCAACGTTACACGCCCTGGGCCAGTCTACCTCTTTGGTCAAACCGCATTTCCGGCTGACCAGTCCAAGAATGCTGTCAATGTCATCTGGAGAAACGCCACTGGAGCTGGTTTATCCAAACTGGACAACGCCTACACATCCGTCCTCACGGTTGCGCCAACCTTCAACGCCAGTCTGACAGGTTCAGGCCCGACTGGCTTCCCCGTCCCCGCCGACACGCCCTTTGGCAACAACGACTTCCGGGCGTACAACCTCAACTTCATCAACGACTACAAGCCGTACTCGGCTGGGCCATCGCTCGCGGTATCCGTCAGCTACGCCAACGCGGGTTTCTACTACTGCGGTTTCTACTCGTACCAGGACACGGTGTACATTGGCAAGCTGGGCAACGCCTACTTCTACAAGAACGAGATTGCTGGCGAAACCGACTTCTTCTACGGCTTCGGCACCGCCTGGATTCAGTCCAGCCTCGTCACGCTGCGCAGCTGCAGCGGCGGCATCACCGCATGGAAGGGCACAAACACGACGTTTGAAAACAAGTACGGCGTGTACATCCATGACTCGGACGTTAGGAAGGCAAACGCCTCGCTTTCTATCCAGGGCCAATGCGCGCTTGGAAGGCCGTGGAACGCGCTGCATCGCTCCATCTTTGCCAACTGCAATCTCGATGATTCCATCCAGCCGAATGGATACATCAAGTGGGGCAAGAGTGATCCAAGGGTTGGTGTCAACACCACCATGGCCGAGTACAACGACTACGGGCCGGGATGGAACGAGACGGCAAGGCGGGAGAGTAACGTGACTATCGTCATGGGCTGGGACCAATACAAGAACTATTCCAGGATAGAGAAGGTGTTTCAGTATCCGTTTTCGGGTGAGTTTGGGAATACGGCTTGGATTGATCGACAGCCTGATCGGTAGATTGAGGGTGTTGATATGCAAATTTAACTTTGTGTCTGTGTTTCTCCTTCTCCTTCTCCTTCTTCTGCTTCTTCTCATCTGCTTTTTTCCATCACCCCGACAGCCCCATAACTCTTGCATGGCAAAACAAGCTATAGCAACATCATAGCATACTTGCTTTTCCTTCTCCGCCCAAGACAAGGATCATGGCAACAGAAATCAGGAAAGAGAGAAGGGCAAGAGGGAGGTGGTCAAGACGGAAGATTACAAATTACTATGGTGGGCTATGGCTGAGTAATTACGACTATGGCATTACACAAAGGGGTACCATTAGTTTACTTCTTCTTCTTCATCCTGCGTCTCTGTCCGTTGGTGTTTCCTGTTGCTACTGACCGCCTGTCTCGCCATGACCCTTTGTTCATGCAAGGGATAGGAGAGTGCGTACTGAAATATGAACGTGGATAATAAGGAGTGGCAAAGAAAAGAGGAAATTAAAACAGTAGGTATCAAGCTCAAACTCCTCAGTCTACCAAAAAAACAATGGTTGGAAACAAAAGCACCAGAGAAACGGTCATGAATTGCCGATATGGGAGGACATGGGCAAAAAGAAAGAAAGAAAAGGAACTTGAGGGGATTACAAAACAACTAATCCCAAAACAGCAACGACAATGGCGCAGACGGAGCCACCCATACAGGAAAGGCCGGGCTGGACAGTTGTTGCAGCGCCCGAATGTCCAGTGCTGCTGCCACCCTGGACAAAGTCACCTCCTCCCTGGCTGCTGCCACTGCCGCCATTGCTGCCAGCCACACTCGTTGCTTGTTGTGCAAAGCCCGGTGCATTGGAGGCAGAAGCAGCGGGAGCGTCACCGGCATCATGTGCGCTACCACCGCCAGGGTTTCCACCTGGCACCATGGCCACAGCCGATGTTTGAGTGCCCTTTTGTTCCTCACCGGGGTCCGTTCCTGTACCCATGAGCGAGCCGAGAACGACTACATCGTCGGTGATGGCAACGGTATTGTTAGTGCCTGCTTCGTCGGTGTACTTGTAAGTCTTTTTTCCCTTGATCTGCGCAGCTGGTGGTGGATCGTAGCATTCAATGGAGACTTCAGAGAAGCGGGCAGCATAGTAGCCGTTGGTCATGTAAGGACTGTTCCAATCGATTTCACCGCCAGCCCATTCGATAGTGCCTTTTGCGTTGCTAGGGAGACCTGCGGGCCAGAGTGAAAGCATGACGCGCGCGGGAGTTTGCGGGAAGTCGAAGCGGTTCGCGGTTGCGTTCCAGGTATCAGTGCGCTTGAGGGTGCGCAGGTCGTTGCCGTCGATGGACCACGTAAGTGTGTCCTCTGTCCAGTCAATGCAGTATTCGTGCTCTGTCGAGACAGTGTCGCCACCAGCTACCGTGAGATTCTTGCCATTTGTGTCTGATTTGATAGTCAGTATCCATGCGAAAGCAAAAAAATTAAAATTGCGCAAAGCCGACTTACAAACAGTCACGCCCTGGGAGTAATAATTTGACTGGACGTGTCCAGTGTCCACACCAACCCACTCAAAATCAATCTCGTCCTTGACATCTGACATAAGAATAAAGGCAGTGACGACACCCTTGCCCTGGGCGGTGCTAAGCTTGGAGCAAATTTTGCCGTACCAAACGTAGTGTGTCGATGCCAACAGCGTTCCCACTGTTCCTTGGGCCATGGTCAAGAGTGTTGACTTCTTGCCCGTCTTGGGATCTGTGTATATGGTGGGGTCGCCCTGCGACTGCCAGTTGATTTTGGAGGCATCGCCGAGGTACTTGTCAATCGACTGGACATCGTCGAGGCTATCGAGCGTGTATGTGCCGGATTGGCACACGGGGCCGGGGACGCACGAGTCAAAGGAATTGGACATTAGAGGATCGCATCCGCCAAGGCAGAAAGCGCCGACACCGCAGTCGCCGTATACTGCACAAGTGTTAGCATGATGGACCGGCTCTCCCAGATGGCGCAATACGCACGCGAGCAGCATGGCGTCTCTTTGGGGCAATGGCTATCCTTTGTGCATTTGGCACCGTCTGCATATGCGACGCCTGCAAAAGCGGCGGCAGCAATGGCAGTGGAGAGGACGCGTCGGACCATGGCTCGGGCCGTTTTGGCAGTGCGCAATGTCGTGTCGTGTAAGCTGATGTGCGATAGGCGAGTCGGACCGCAGTAAGATGGCTATCGCATTCGTCGGTAGGCACTCGTTCCTGTGGTTTTATGACGACAGATGGTAAGCACGATGGTGATCGGCGTAAGGGTTGCGCCGGGGTGAAGGACAGCGGCAGCGAGGAGTCGTCGCAAAGCAAGAGGGTGGCGGTATGATGCGCCGACTATGCAATGGGCCGGTTTCGGGTAGCGAGCGTGGGTGAAGAAAAGAAAAAACAGGCAGGCGGGCGGGTTGGCAAAGCGAGAGAGGCGCCAGGAAGAGAGGAGAGAAGAAGCCAGGCATCCACGGGCGGCCAGCTGCTCTTGAAGAAGGGGCATCTGGGGTACCAAATGTGGCGCATCCATCGGGGATTGCGCCATGCCACATGCGAGGGCGGGCTAGCTGCATCAGGCCGGTTCCATGGGCTGGTGCATCTCGTACTATCGAAGAAGCAGCTGGCTACACCATGCCAGCAGGCCGTCGAGGCCATCGAGACTGCCGCTGCAGCCGGCGTGTGTCGTCGACGGCGCGCCATGTGCCAGTGCCAGCAGTGTCTTTTTGCCGTCGTGTCGTCGTGCCGTCGTGGTGTTGTGCTACGCTGCCATTTGCCATGTGCCATTTGCCATTTGCCACTCCGCTGCCGCTCCTGCTGCAATCTTCTGCTCAGCTCCTTCGCGCCTTCCCAATCCATCCACGCGCTAATAATTCTGGAACACGCTGCACACCCGTTTTGCTCTCTTTTTGCCGCCCTCACTGCGACGCCCACACTTCCACTTCCACTTGCACCTCCACCTCCACCTCCACTTGCACCCGCGGCCACCTCGACATTGCTGTTCCCCTCACGTTTGGACAGCCTCGCCGTCCCATGACGTCGCCATCCCTGTGCGACAGGCTGTTAGCTGCATCGTGCAACGGCCCTGCTTTTTTTTGCGGGGATTGTGTCTCTGCACATCCCTGGAATCCACAACAGCCGAGCACGTGCGCCTTGCATCGCCCCCTCGTCCCAGCTGAACATGGCCGGTACTTTCCAGTCCCTCTATTCCCGCTTGGAAACAGACAAACCGCCGGGTGCACATGATCAAAACGCCCTCGTATGAGACATGGACCCGCGCCTCTCACGCGGGCTATGCTTTTGCCTGGGCGCCTACTCCACCAATGTCGCATCAGAGGCTGTGTCGTCGTCTTGGTCCAACGGCTCGGCCATCGTACCCGCAGCGCTTTTCCTGGCTGTCTCTCTTCTTTTCGGCCCAACAAGTCTCTGAGCCATTTTACACCTCGACGGCTTTAATATAGCCCAGCCATCCTTGCAGCTGCCAGCGCCACAGAAGATGCACGGCCCCTTCTCCGCATCCACCGTTTCCAGTCACCGGTCCATTGGAGTGCAATCGTTCCCCTCGGCTCCCTGTGGTACGCCTAAAGTCCTGGTCCAAGTCCAAACACGTTTCCATCTATCTGCATCGATAAACCACGCAAACGAACATGGCAGGGATTGCGGCGCGCACAAAAGGCCTCAAAGTGACCAGCAGTCTTGAAATCTCGACATCTCGCGTCATCTTACAAGCTACGGGGAGTACAGCGAGCGGTGGTTTCTGCTCTTTGTTCCATCGTTTCAATGCTAGCTGCAAGTCACCAGCAAATACGCCATACGGATTCTCTCCTTCAATAGAAACAGAGTCCACGTGCTGGCATCCAACTTGACAACTTTTCGTCACTGTGAGAGAATCAAGCAGGAATGGGTACAAAAGAGTACCATGGCCACCGTCCTGCTCATTGAATACAAAGGCTATCGCCCAGATAGCGAAGAGTAGCCAATACCTGAGAACAGGCCTGCGTTACAACGACATCATCTGACTCGGAATATGTCTAGATGCCACCGCTTCAATCAATACCCTAAGCGTAGATGAAACACCATTTCGATATTGCACTTTTCCGTTCCAGCCCTACGCAAACATTAAGAACAAATGCCGCAACTACACGCTAAACTTTTTTCAATATCCTCTCATCAAGTAAGACCAAGTCAGACTGCAGACTCGATGAATTCCAATCAAGCATCTTTGGCTTACGCCGCTTTGCACGACTACAACTCAAGACGAAGCCAGAACAAAATCCGAGTATGCGACTTCATCAAGCCATCATCCGCATCCCTCGCATTCACCAATTCTCCAACATGACTGTATCTTACATACCATGCATGATATACTATTGGACGAAGAGCATCTTGGATCGATAGTGGATATTGCCGTCTGTGACATTGTTACCAAAACACTGTATCCACTCTCTACCACCCAGGGTCCACGGTCTGGCCCACTTCGCCGAGTCAGCCTCGCACATGGTTTTTTCTAGATGTTATTTCAATACATTGCGCTAACCTGCAATAACATTTTTGGAAACTAGTTTAACACAAACTAATTACTGAAGATAAACTGGAAACCAGAAACAAAGGAATAGGGCTATACCCTATGTCATCTCAACCTTGCTCCTCGAAACACTCGCAAGCTGAAGAGTGGCGAGTGACCCACGATTCTGTGTAGTTTGCGCACCGACGCTTAACGTATTAACAAAGAAACTATGTTAATAGCCAGTTGCTAGGTCACCTCGAACCATTGCATAAAACCTGACAATAACAAGCCACATTACTCGAGAAAACCATTATTCAGGAGAATGATACACACATTAAGTTGAAATCGACGTGTAATAAAGTAAATTCATATGACTGATTAGTAGTTTGCCATCTCATAAAAGGAGAGGGTAGGGACAGGATGTTGAAGTATGAAGTGTAAGAGTTTCGAGGCTAGAGACCCACGGGCGAATTTCTAAACCTAATGTTTCTGACACACGTATCCATCTCAGCATATCCTTTACATGTTCATTGGCAAAAAAGGATCTGTAGAGCATTCGCAGTATTAAGTTATGATTGGGCCGAATAATCTGAGAACACTGACTTAGATCAGTGCTAGGTTGTATAGATAACGCCTACGTAATCTAGGTATCCTTGACCTGTGTAGAGCTATCTGGGTAAAAGTAGTGCTTACTTGACAAACTTTAGTGTAAAATTAGTACACGGTGAGTGGTACGAAAGCCACAAATACCGTGACTACCACTGTAGGATCCATGCAGACCTTACCCTAGCCGCTTTGCAGTTAATAATCATCACAAACTTTATCAGTACGTTGTGAGCAAGACCGAGATGCGACATCTACGGAACGGGACGACCCTTATACAGGACGGGGATTTGTGTTGGCCTCTGATAGTTTACATACATCGAGTGCTAGGCTTACCTGCTCATAGCTTACGTTTACTGAGATGTCGCTTCTCTATCTGTGACTTTCGAACATGTGTATATTCTTCGTTGAGCGAACTATTCTTGTTATCATATCTGCAGCTGCTACGCGATGTACCTTTCAGAATCGAGGTAGTCTTGCTGCTATACTGTGCGAAGGAACCAATCACGTCACTAGAACATAGGCTTACTCTTCGCCCCCCGTCCGTCTTTCACCCCGGCATTCTTATTTAAATTACCCAAGACTCCTTTTGGATGGCCGGGGAAAACATTCTAAATAGTATAAGTGCTTATCAGCGTCTGATACTTTTGCTTTATTGACTATCTTGCGTTGGTTTCGTCAATTTTGCCCACAACAATCTTTCTCTTGCTACAATCAACAGCAAAAACGCCCCGCGATTCCGCGCGACAACATAAATTCAATTGCGCCTAGTCACAATGGTGGAAATTGCGACGTTCCCATGAATATGAGGATGGAATATCATGGCCGTTCGGTCGCAATAATTCGTGGTCGCGCTAAGTAACACCTGACGCACGTGACCGTCATTCACAACTGCAGTTCTTTTCTACGCACCACTGCAAGTTTCCATGCATGTCTTGCCCTGTTCCCGGTACAGGCGGGTTTTCAAAAAGACCGACGACAGCTGTATGACGCGTTGTGAGTGACGACTGCTTGGCCTCTCGGAAACGCGCGGACGAAATACCCGTAATCAAGCAGTAAGCCGCGGTACTATACAAATTTTATGCAAAAAAACCCCTGCCATCCCAGCTCTATTTCTGAACCCTATTGCAACACCCTATCAACCTCCGAGTCCCAGTTTTATCATACCGATCTCAACATCCGTTTCCTGCATGTCATACCTCCTCCACGGCAGCACCTCTCACACAGGCATGGGCTGGGTCGACCTTGTACCCCGCTGTGGACGCCTTTACATTGGCGGCCTATACGCCTTGTATCACACGGATCTCATCGAAGCTGCTGGTATCACGCATGTGCTATCTGTAATTGACTACGAAACCTTGCTGCCCGATCATTTCAGGCATTTAAAACGTTTTCATATCAGGGCCGAAGATCACCCCAACACAAACCTTCTGCAATACTTCGAATCAGGCGTGCAATATATTGATGAAGCTCTAGCTTCGTCGTCATCTTCGTCACGAATCACCAACAATGGCTCAGCGTCAGACGCTAAAGTCTCACCTCATCCTCCATCCCAAAATCAAGACTCAGGGACCCGAGGCGGTGTGTTTATCCACTGCGCCATGGGCAAGTCGCGATCTGCGACCCTGGTTTGTGCGTATCTGATCTGGAAATATCATGCTTCTCCTGCAGCGGCGTTGGAGCAGCTTTGCGAGGGAAGACCAATTTGCGATCCGAATCCAGGCTTCAATGAGCAACTACGAGTTTGGAGCGACATGTGCTGCGCTAAAACCAAGGAAGAGAAGAAAAAAATATACGAGAATTGGGAACAAGAAAGGTTTACCGGCGAAGTGTGGGACTGGGAGACTCGGGTCAAAGAACAGGAAGCAGAGGAAGCAAAGAGTATGCGAGCTTCCAAGCTTTAAGTATTGAGACGTGTCATTTGAAGGCTCTATGGTTCGAATAATACAGCTGCTTCCTTCATGGCTCAAGCCTCAGCATCCCATCTCTTTGCGGCTCATGGCTTGGGTTTGAAGCATTCCAGCCACTCTGTCAAAGCGCTCTTGAAAAGCTCTTGGGCCACAGCTGAATCAGGAACATCATAAATGTCATCTCTGAGGTCGGTGACCTGTACTCCATCTTTCAGCACTATACCAAACACCTTGTTCGGGCCAGTGCTCTCTCCGCACTTTGGAATCTTTCGTGTTATTTTAACGCCCTTGGGCGCATAGGATTCTTCAGATGCGATGGAAACTATCCTCCAAGGATCGAGTTCACCAACCGCAAAGAAAGTGTTTGAAGGGCGAATAGACCATCCACCATAGGCAGCATTAGTTTTGTCGACATTGGTCGTCGTTGGAAGAAGATCAGCGGGCGCATTAGGGAAATACGATGGGCATGCCGACATCGAGTATTCCAACGTAAGATACTTGGAGACAAGTTGGTGGGGGCCTAGGTTGGCGCCTAAGTACAATCCTGTGCTCGTTAGTATTGCCTCGTAGGTTCTAGCGAATGACTTGGAACATACCTGTTTCTAAACAAGTTTGCCAGTTGGAGGCGATTGAGGTGGGGTCGGTAGCGAAGCCGTCTAGCTGGCACTCGTCTGATCTTGTGGTCAAAGAGCCTGAACAGTTGAGCGGCAACTGTCCGTTGACCATGTCCACAAACCATGGGTATGCAGCCCATCTGTCTACCACCCATTCGGCGCCTTTTACCGAAGCCCAACCACCCGCTGGTGCCGTTTTGTTTGTTTCAGGCTCAATCTCCATCCAGCTACAGAATCTCCGGAATCCCCAAGTGGAAGTAACGTCTATGCCCCAGCCCTGTCACTGCCAGGTTACGATAGAAAGAGCGGTGGCAAATCCACTATCTGAGCCGTTGACTCCTAAACCCAGGAATTTCTCTTTCAATTTTTGCGTTTGCTCCGGTTTGCCCTGATCAAGTACTCCGTCAATGTGTCGGACCGCAGCCTGTATATCCGCAGTGCAATTTCCATATCCCAGGGAGTTCAAGCCTTTCCAAATTGGATCATACCAGGCGCTCGCGTCGATTCTGAATTCGACGGGAGCTGATGAAACCCACGACGCGTATATGGTATCAGGGTACAATCTGCGCATCTGTGCAGCCCTAAATCCTGCATACGAGGGACCGACATAAATCCATGGTGTCTTGTTAGGAGTGAGTGTCTCCTTGATGCCTGAGACTTTGAACCGCTTCGCAAAATAATCAATATCTCATAGTGATTGCGCTATCGTTAAGAATTGGAAGTCCTCTATTGGTGTGCTTGAGTTGATGGGCATAGGTGTCGATGCGCCGTAGTATCGGTGCTCCAATATGACGCCAATGCCGTTGTACTGTCTGTAGAGTTGCTTGAAAACGCTTTGGTCGTTCGACAGCATATCCGGAGCAACACCCGATGCATCTTGTTGACCCGTATCGTAGATGAACACGGGACCACCGGGTTTATATGCACTCTTGTTGACCCAGTACCGGTTGCGAAAATGCTTCTGTCCCTTTGACGAACCGAAGTGATCGAGAGGCATTTGTATCCACTCCGTTTTCAGTTGATCATCGTTTTGTGCCGCCCTGGAAGATTTGCGATGCGGAAGGAGGGCATTGGTGCCTTGAAGGAGCGCGAGCACGAGCACCGCTGCCGAAGCTAAACTCCGCATGGTGAAGGTAGAACTGGGTAGGAAAATGAAGCAAAAGAAACAACCAGCGAAATTGCTGGAGAGTAGATGTCAAGTCTCACAGACCCAAGGCAGCTGCTTGCGTGCTGCAAGGACAGAGGTGGCGATAGTAGTAGTATTTGTAGCTTACAATGACATATTATATATTACATGAACATATAGCTATGGAAAAATCCAATCGCCGAGTTCTACTACATGCTGATTACAGACCCCGGCTATTATTCGTATCTCGGCGTCATTTGCGGTAGCAACCCTGAGTTAACCCCTAAAATCTTATGAATTTTTTCAATTTAAGCTGCATAATGACACGTACGATTCACCGCCGTAATACTTTATTCTCAAAGAGAAAGTAGTAACCAAAAAAACTTGATTCGAAGCAGTAGGAAACGCATGCGTTGGTCAACCGTTGCGGAGCAGAGCCTGTCGGTGTCAATCACGAAGGAAACGCCTTTGCCGCATCAATCGGATGACTTCCCTTTTTTTTTTTTTTTTAGCTTGGTGACACTGCATGCCTCCCAGTCAAGTTAACGCATCACCCATATAGTTTGCAAAATAGGTGGAACCAGGAAGGTCACCGAACCAGTAATACGAAACAAAAAAAATCCCCTGTATATTCAAACGTGTACGGATCTTGACGGAATTCATGGAGCCATTTCCTATCCTAGCACGTCTATAGAATACACATATCTTAATTGCATAAATGACCTCACTATTGTATACAAAGCTTCCAAAAGCCTGGTGGCTTTCAGACCATTGGAGTGTTTCCACGCCATCCGTGCCGTCTGACATGCGGAAGCGGCACCCAAAATTTCCGACTTTTCCGACTCACCACATGGGAGGCTAGCGTCGACACAGCCATCTTTGTCTCAAGACCCAAATACCAAGAGTTAGCGCTGTCAGGGGTATTGCAATCGCCCAATAGATCCAGAACTTCTCGGATATCGACCAACGACCCGCCCGCCCGTCTTCAGGCGGTGTGTAGTTGAAGAAGCTCATGCTGAATATGGCCTGCAAACCAATCAGCAAAGGCCCACGGTTATTTCGCAAGCCTTACAGAGAGAAACGTCGGCGGCAGGAAAAACATGGTCACCACAGCGATTGTTCTCATCGCACCGCTGTCTTCCCTTGCTGCCGCTCCAAGCTGCTTCATGATTTGACTGTCGTATCTTGCAGCTTCACCCAATCCCGTCATGATCTGGCTATCGCGCTGTGCAATCATATTGTATGCCTTAAGCTCGTAAGTATTAAATTTTGCCGAGAAAAATGCATATGCCTTACAAGTGCAATCTCGCTTTGCAATCGCTCCTTGTTCGACTGGGCTCGTAAGCTAAGATTCTGGAGCATGCGCAATTGCAAATCAAGCTGCCTATTGACCGATTCAAATGATTCTTGCACACCCCTTAGCTTTGCAGATGCCCTCTTCGTCTCGTTGGTAGTTTGCTGCTGGATGCTACCCAATGTCTCTATCGCTACGCTAAGAGTCTCCGAGGAATGGCTGGCATGTCTTGCTGCCTCATGAAGCAATGTGAAATGAGTTGCATCACGTGTCGAACGCGTACGATCCTACAGCACGTGTTAGTCTCATAAGCGCGCCCTGTAATACAGATATCGCATACCATTTCGGCGTGGCGTATGACGTCGCGAATAGACCATACTGATTGATCATATATCATGACGAGGACTTCTATCAGGGGTACCAGTAAGGATCCGGGCTGAGATCCTTGTATCTCAGACCACATGTGACCCAGGTTCTGATAGAGATGGTTTTGGAATGAAGCGTCTACTCCTATGCATAGCACAACGATGCTTTTGTAATCCCATCGATAGCAAAATGTCATCTCGTGCCACTTGTAATGCATCCCATCATTAACATAGGCCACTTTGGCCAGCAAGCGAAACCACATGTCTGGGAGAAGTCAGTTGTGATGGTGCCTAGACTGTACGTGCTCTCACAAAAAGATGCTGGGCGGCCATCTGCACTTGGCAATTCTTTGAAAGCAAAGAACCCGTTTGAGCGCCTATATACGTCCGCAAGAAGGTATCGCGGAATCTGAAAATATTGAATGATCTCTGGTGACAATGGTTCGCCTGCATTGCTGGAGAAGGGATCTTCCTGCATCAACCTAATATCTCGTAAATGCCCATAGTAAATGATCTGGATGGTGAGAAAGTACAGGTATTCCGTTCCTGCATGACTTTGATCCTATTTTAGTAATTAGCCATGGTTGCAATGGCGCAGGAAAGGAATCATACGCTGAGATAGTTATCTAGCCGTACAGTACAGGGGCTCCAGCGTCCTGAAGCTACTCAACAATTACCTTGCTGTCCAAGCAACTCTACAAGCATTCTTACATAGTCTTAGTGAATGAATGAAATCCATTTGAGGTCCCCAGGCGTGTTTCGTGCTCAAACACGACACAGAGACAGGATGCCAATTTATTGCGGTAATGTTTGCAGAAACTGACAATGCCACCACGATTGCGCGGATAAATGCATGGAAAAACCGGTCAATTTTGAAGGAGCTGCATGCTGGCGAGGCTACCCAATCAATGTTCTTATCCGCCCCGTCTCCACGACTTGTCAGCGCTTAGGTAGGATGCAATCACCTGCATCAATAGACACCTCACATTCCGGTCGCCTATGGTTTCGCTTCATCAGCTCCCACTTGTTTCACCTTGGGAAAAAGAGCCACTCTGAGGCTGAGAGATAGCCGCTGGATACTTATGTGTTGCGACAGCTCCCCTGTGGGAAAGAACGGTTCCTATAAATAACGAAGTCGCTACGTAGTGCGCAAGCACCTTTCTTGATTAAATTAGCTTACAGTAGAACATTATATAACGTGGTTCACAAGTGAGTCGCTAACCCAAGCGAGTCGCTAACGCCCCACCAGCCCATCAACTTCATCACTATAACGCGTGATGTCTTAACAACGCAACCGTCTATTAATATATTCTAAATCTAATCTTTAACTTGCTCTTTTTAACGTCTAGTTGCAACGTGTTTAGAGTGTAAACTGTGCTGCTACTATCTACAACGTCCCACAAAGAACTCTATCTGATCAACGCGCTAGAAAGCGCCCTCGACGCGACTGCGAGCCGAAATCGAAGCGTCTAGATAAGCTACAGTGCCCGTGCACCAGATGAGCACCATCGCCAGTTGAGCACCCCCAACAACTCAATATAGTCAACAAGATGAGGCTGCAGAGCCACCACAAATCGTAATAAAATTGCGCAAAGCTAGGATTATACTATATACAGGCCTACGAAAGTTTTGGCTTATTCAGAAATTTTTTTGGAG